GATTGCATGGCTGGAAGCAGCTTGTGACACGGTTGGACTTGCCGTCCAAGCCACGCAATTCGCACCTGTTCTGCTCAGAGCCTCTCCTCACGCGCTGGCTATGCTCGAGCCCGCTACTAGTTGGCTACGTCAGGGAGGTTTTGTTTCGGTGAGTGACGGCTTGAGGACTCCCTTCGGGTAGAGCTCGCCTCCTCACCTTTCTAAGTTTCACCTTGAATTCATGTGCTTGAGGCGCGTCCCCTGGACTCTAGCCTGTGGAGAAGAAGAATATATATATACACACACACACGCACTGTGCGGACGTAGGGGTCTTTCTTGGAGTTTATGTAAGGACTTGCGTTTCCTTCTTGGTGTTTGCAAGGTTGGGGTTTCTTATCGCCACACTATCCACTACCTCCATCATCTCGAAAACTCCGTCTGGTCGAGAACTGAAGGGAACAAGTTTGGCGGAGATGGCGACTGCCACTGCGCCATTCTCAGGCCTCGTGAGAACCTCTTGAGTTCTATGGCCCCATTGGCCTAGTTGCCACTCGCGTGGGAGGAAGCTCTTCTTTGACACTGGGTCACTGCACAAATCCACTCCCCGGGCCTCTTCAGACAACGTGAATGACGGTGCCGACCGGCGCCAGGATACCTACGAGTGGAAAGGGATGCTTTAGATTGCGAGCGGAAGTCCCTTCAACCTCGTGACATGCAGCCAAAGGCACGTGCGGTGGTGGGGGCGGCGGCGGCGCTTGCTTGTTGGTCGGCGGAGCCTATATAATGAGGCTGATGATGCGCTCTTTCCTTCCCCGGCTTCCTTCCTTGCTTCTATCCACTAGCAACCGTGCTCCAAGTTCACGTAGCACAAGGAACATTCACGAACACTACGTCAAGCCGAAAACGCTGTGACTACCGTTGATTCCGGCAGGCCGTGCGCATGTTAGGGCCGCAAAAACAAAGCTCTGGCTCCTCGTAACGGAAGGGTCCTCTGAAAGGACATCATCGCTACGCACCCACCCCGTACCTCCCTTTTGCTGCTGGACATGCTTATTCCTGACGGCAGGTGGGGGGCAATGCACCTACTGGTACCGGTGACCTCGCCCTTGACTCAAAGACGCGAGGATAAGCAGCACGGCTGCGTCGCTGAAATCCAGAAACCCTGCCCTCAGCGAAGCATGAATCGTCAAAGCGCCAAACCTCCAAAGCAGGACAGCTCACCGATCAAGCAATGAATAAAGGCGTTGCGCCTCTTCCTCCGGTTCTGCACGGGGCATGCAAGGCTGCGCAGGCAGCGGCAGCACCTTGCACTCCGTCTCCTCAGAACAAGGTTGAGGACTTCAGAAAGGTTGAGCTGCCAGCGTTAAGTTCAAACGCCCAAGACCCCCAGACCTGATCTTTCAAACTCGCCAAAGCCTGTGGCGCGCGCCTCTTTGCACTGCTCTACCGGCGCGGGCGTGACAGGGACACTGTCAGGCTCACCTGGATTTGTTTGTTGTTCAATTGCTTTCCGGCGGTTGTCATATTGGGTCATCTCCGGCAAGTCTGAACACTCTCGGCGCCATATCCCAAGCTGAGGTCGTCACGTGGCGTTGGCTGAAAGGGTGTGGATGCTATCGAAGACGACTCTTCCTCGATGGTAGGCAGCGCCAGTTTGACGACAAAGCCACCTCAGCATAAAACCGCCTAGTGATACTGAACCGGATAGGAAGCAAACAGCAGTGGAACAAGGCAGGCATGCGTCTCTATCCACATTAACATGTTTACAAAGACAGCGAATGGTAAAGGCACGTGCCCAGGTCTGTAGGCGGCGGATTCTCGACGGCACTACCCGTGACAATGTGAAGCGAGGCCGAAACCCACATTAAACAGAGGGCTAGCTGGCTAGGCCAAGCCATGGAAACCCTTACCTTCGGCAACGTCGACATTGACACCACCCTCAGACACCACCACCGCCACCACCACCACCACCGCCGCCACCGCCACCGCCGCCGCCGCCACCGCCACCGCCAACAGCAACAACCACCCACACCGCTGTCATCATGATCACCACCAGCGGTACAAGCGGCATCGTCATCATCATCATCAGCAGCATCATCATCATCATCAACAGCATCGTAGTCTCGATATTCTCATCATCAGTATCATCACAATCATCGTCATCATCATCATCACCATCACCATTACCATCAGAATCACCATCATCACCAACAGCAACAACAACAGTTCACAATGGGCCTTCATCATCATCATCATCGTCATCATCCATCACCACCACCGCCTCTGCCACCCTCACAAGCAGACCACCGCCGCCATCATTGTCACAGCACCCTAGTGATATCGAAACTTGAGCCACATTGTCGAAAGTCTACTGTGCATGCGAAAGCCACCAAGGCCCTCAGCGTCCATGGCGGCTCGCAGCGCGCTGCGCTGACGGAGTCGTGACTGCAGCCCATAACGTCTGCAAGCAGAGAGGGGGGGAAGTCGTGGGAGTTCAGTAGCTGGCTATGAATGGGTTCAGGATTGAAGGGACTTGCTTGTTGCAGGGATCCCAACAACGTAAAACTCTCGAATTTCGGCCTTTCGGTGGGATTCGCAGGTCTTTCTGGAAGCTTCTGCCTCGCTGGAGCGATGCAGATGGCCGAAGCTGCAAGGAGCCATCCGCTCCGGTCCTTCAGCAGAAAAATCAAGAAGGCATATGGGATTCGACTTTAGCTCCTCAGGCTTGAGCTGCGACTGCTACCGCATATCCCAACAGAACTAAGATGAACTGCCTCTGAGCCCCTTTCTGCAGTAAACTGCTGATGGAAGGATCCTCGTCTACCACTGAGGATACCCAGGATTTTGGTGACCCGCGGCAAAAGCCGGCGATCGCTTGCACGAGAGAAAGAGTCCGCAGCGATGGGCAGATCAACTTGCTTCTTCAGGGAGAGAGAGGGGAGGGGAGGTGTCAAGATGTGTCCTGACATAGGGATGGGCACCGTGCTATCGGCTCACGGGTCCCATGCAAAGTTGATGCAAGAAAGGCAGGGCGAGAGCAAAGAAGAAGAAGCACGGAAGGAAGGGCACTGAAGACTCAAACAGAGACCAGAAAATGCTGAGCCCAAAGCCAACGACATGCAAGACTCCAACTGCGGGGCTGCGAAGAGACTCAACATCAGATGGCATGAGCACGACCAGTGGCATCAGAACCGGCTTTATTGCCCAAGGATTGGTACCCCGAACTCCCGTGAAGCAGATTGAACGGAACGAAAACCCCGGATGCCGAAGTTTTGCAGGAAAGAGGCGATCCAATCCAACAGCGCTTCCGGCCTGAGGCAAGAAGGAAGGACTCTCCAGTGCTCAGTAAGGCTTTCACTTGTGATTTCCTTAGTGCGCAGGCCAAGCTCTGGACGAGAATTATTGCAGGGTGAGGAAGGAAGCGAGTACGATGCCAGTCGGGTCTAATTAACTTCGAATTCCTGCCATGTTGGCGGGTGTCCGCCGCTACATTCTGCTACTGGCCGAGCAAACGAAGAGAAGCAGTGTGAGCTCGGTTGACGGTCCGGTGCTTTTCCGGGGTTTGGGGTTTGGGCATCAGGTCTAGATGGGGAAGCCAGTAGGTCGAAGTCTGAGCTGCTGTTTCCTTTCTATCCACAACCTCGATCTACTGGACATGGGCAGTTTTCTAAAGTAGAGTTCCTTCTAGGGTCCTGTTAATAAGTGTGCCGTACTATATTGGGGACAAAGGGACCCTCATTTAGAGAACTACCCACATACACAAACCTCCGGTACATCCGACCCACACAGCCAGCCGCGGGGCCAGCGAGCTCCGTGCACTTCCTCCTCGTGGAGCGGGGCCTCACGGTAGCCCAAGACTCAAAAACGAGTTACTGGGTCCCTAAACCCTCAACCCTAAAACCTAAAGCCCTAAACCTAAAACCCTAAACCCCAAACCCTAAACCCTAAAGCTCTGCTCATTGTGTTGGCTGCTGTTGTTGCTGTTGCCGTCACCGTTACATCCAGTCATTCATGGAAGTCGCAAACATCGCAACGAACACAACCAGCACTTCAAACCCAGCAACCCTTGTTCAAAAGAGCGCTGAAGAACCCTGAACCAGTAAACGGCAGACCTGAGCCATGAACACCAACTCCGGGTGCCTCCACCTCCTCCCATGGGTCCGCGATCACCCCGCGAAAGGACGGAGCTGTTGAGGGAGCCACCTGTGGACGGCCCAAGTCTTAGGACCCAAAAGAAGCAAGCAATTGGATGCTCCAATGCACCCAACAGGGACCCCCAAACAGGGACCCCCGAAATTCGATAGAAAGAGAAAAAAAAACCGAACGAACCTCCTCCGACACACAGCCGTCAAACGCCTCAAAGGGCCCGGGGCCCCAGGCCTGGGGCTTCCGGATCCAGCCCCGCAGGTTCTCGGTGAGCATGGGCGTGCCTTAAAGTGTGCACAAAAGATCCGCCGTTTCAGCCGTAGGTGTTTTTTGAGGCTTGCAGGGCCCTTAAGCAGGCAAGGGCAAGGGGTGGCGCCGTGAGCTAGGTGGCCGGGTGTGGAGCCTGCAGTGGGGCCTGCAAACCTGATCTGGGCAAATCACGTCCAGATGGCATAGGAATGCGCGACCGATCAAAAACAGCAGCTTACACTCTCCACAACAGTCCCTCTCCGCGCCCAGCGGCCGAAGCCCAGCACGGCAGCCAGGAATAGCGATGCGAAACAGACCATGGCTCTGCAGAGAGGCCGAACGCCTGCCCGAGCCGTCGCGAGCTACTCAGAAGAGGCAAAGCCCTGAAGCGGAGAGGCCGAACCTATGGAACCCAACTTCAGCACAGATACGTGACCTAAATCAGCTTGAGCGCTGTCGAAACAAGGCTCTAAGTGTTGTTCGACGGCCACCGGAAACGAAGGGCAAAACCATCGCGAAGCCCAATAAGAGCTGCGGCGTGCAAACATTTCAGAAAAGGCGGCGGCCAAACACCTCCTTGGACATCCTCCTGAGCCTTCCACCCCTTGCAGTGGCCCCCGTTTTCGTCACGGCTGTTGTTCCTTTGCATCGAGCTCGTCCCCATACATGACGTCCATCTCACCGAAGAGCCGTTGAAGCATCTGCCAAGAAAGGTGCTTTACTGCGGGCTTGACTATAAGGACGGCACAACATGTGCGCTGAAGGCTCTGACCGTATCGCATACTTAATTGAGGCTGATACGTCTCATGCCATATTCAAGAAATTCCATTCCTGGGAGGCTAGGACTTGAGAGCACTCAAGCGCGGCGGAGGTGTCGCCTCCAGCACACCGGCTTCCAACATGCAGTGGCAGCGCATGGGACAGAAGCCATCTGTGACAGACCGTGCCACGGTGACAGCGCAGGGCCTGCAATAGCAAGGGCAAGTTCAAAGCACACAGGTCTTAAACGTGAGCCCGTATTGCCTAGGATCACGGATCTCCTGTGGTGACTTTACGCCTGCATCATGCAGGGCATGGCACGCTTTGGAAATCGTCTCCAATTTGTAGACGGTTTGAAGACAAATCAACACTCCCCCGCACTTGTTTTGGACGCTCGCGGCGAGTAGTCGTTGATGATGCTGACAGCTGCTGCGCTCGTGAACGCTGCGCCAATTGCACGATCAACCGAGCGGCGAATGCTTTGGAACGGGCCACAGGAGATATGGAACACCCATCACGGCAACTAGTTAATTCTACAAGTCCTAGCAGCAGTTGTGAGACCCCACCCAAGCCCTTAGCATAAATCCTGAACTTCCATTCTGAATATACAGCACGCCTAAACCCTGAAGCCTGCCGGAAAAAAAAAGAGCCGCCTTCCTCCGAGCCGTGCCACGAAGGACTCCACGGCCTTCAGCTGCTCCCGCAGCTCCGTGGTGGAGGGCCGAAAGCTCCTGAGCGGGAGCTGGGGCACCGTGAATTTGTGCTGGCCTTGCTGTGGTCTTGCCTATGATTCAACAAGGATAGATCATGCGTTACGAGCATCTTCGTGCTGCAGTCCGCATTTTGGGTGTGCTCCGAGTAGCCTTTGATGCTCGTCTCACCGTAGCTCCCCCCAACACAAAATCTGAACCCAAACCCGCAGAACGGCCCAAAGCTTCGAGAAGCTCGGGATCGAAGCTGTCTGGGGCTCTTTGGTGACATGGAGCTCTCGTTGGCATAAGTTGGATCGTTTGGAGCTGAGGCAAGGGCCTCTGGGATGTAGGCTTGCTTCGGTTCTAGAGTTCTGGGGTCGTGGACTCTGACGACGCTCCCCGGTTTGGAGTGTAAGCTTCTTCTTGCTCAGGGACCGAGGCTTTTCTGTTGCGAGCGGGCATACGGCATCTAAAGCCACCGAACCCTATACTGAGCCCCCTTACGCACCTTGGTGAGCCCTAGTGCTCTTGCCTGAGGCTTCCTGAAGCACCGACTTCAGAACCCGCCCCCGCCGTGATCGAAAGGAAACCCCCTGCTGGGCCCGGCGGCTGGGCCCGGGCACCCCCAACTGCGCCAAAGCCACGGGAGGGAGATCATGTCACCGGCCTGAATGAAGCCGTCGCACAAAAAGAAAAAAACACGGCGCAGTGTGATCCAAAAGGAGCCGGTGGTGAACATTTCTGCAAAAGCCTTTTCGATGCTAGGGTGGCACACGCAGATGTGATGGTGGTGCGTGGCGCGCGCCATGTCGGAGGGCGGTCGTTTAGGCGTAAGGACTCGAAGGAGTAGCCGTCGTCACCGTCCCCATAGTTGGAAATGGTCATAGTGTATACCCAACGCTACTCAGCTCGTCCAGCGCAGTGACTAAGCACAAAGCAGTAGGCTGCAACAGCAGCAGGAGCAGGAAAGTGGTGGTGCTCTCAAATTGAAAACCACCATCTCCTCTCTAACCACTGCCATCGTTATCCGTGTTATCGCCATCACCACTATCATCAGCAAGCCATTTCTGTGGCCATCAATATCAACCTGGCCATTCATCACGTTCGCTGAACCTTTGATCTTCATCGACATCCACTACAATCCTCTTCAGCTTCCTAGTCTTCTCTCTGTTCTCCGTTTTGCTGGCCGCCTCCTGCAGCGCTCGAAGCTCTGATCCACGCGCATCGATGAGGGCGTCACGCAGCGCCGGGCGATGGAGTGCCTTCCACGCTCTCTTCCCCCCCCTCCCTCTGAGATGTAACTT